TATAAGGCCATCGAGTCTAAGCCCATGTTCAATGCAGGAATCCAGACCAAAGCAGATTTAATAGTTTGTTTGTCCAATTCTCTCTTGAATGCTTCGAAAGATATAAGGCCATCGAGTCTAAGCCCATGTTCAATGCAGGAGTCCAGACCAAAGCAGATTTAATAGTTGGTTGTCCAATTCTCTCTTGAATGCTTCCAAAGATGGAGCGCTCGCCACCTCCTAAAGTAATTGGTTCCATTGTCTTACTGTTCCAACAGTTAAGATGTTTTTCCTGATATTCAAGCCTAAATCTGGCTTACTGTAGCTTGAGTTCGAGTCTAAGCCCATGTTCAATGCAGGAGTCCAGACCAAAGCAGATTTAATAGTTGGTTGTCCAATTCTCTCTTGAATGCTTCCAAAGATGGAGCGCTCGCCACCTCCTAAAGTAATTGGTTCCATTGTCTTACTGTTCCAACAGTTAAGATGTTTTTCCTGATATTCAAGCCTAAATCTGGCTTACTGTAGCTTGAGTACATTATTATGTGTCCTGCACTCTAGGATGATCGAAAACAGATCCTGCCCCTCCTCTGTATGACAGTGTATTTGAAAAGTGCTATCTGATCTCTGGCCAGTTTTCTTTTCTGAAGGCTAAACATTCCCAGTTTCTTCTGTCTTTCCTCATAGGGCTTGGTTTCCAGTCCTCTGATCACCCTTGTTGCCCTCCTCTGAACTTGCTGCAGTTTGTTGGCATTCTTCTTAAAGTCCAGTGTCCGGAACTGGACATGGTACTCTAGAGGCCTAACTAGATTTCTAGGGCACTAAGGGCTTTGCAGTGTTTAGTAGGCACTGGCAAAAACACAGTGGTCTGCCTTGGAGAAGCAGACACGGCTTTAATGAATGCAAAACTGCAGCTGGACACAGCCTATTGAGGGTTTAAAAATAGTTTTATTGAAGCAAGCTTAGTCTGAAGGATTTGTAAAATGACCTTGGGCTTTTTGTTGCAAAAAAAGAGCGACGGGATGAAACAGAGCTAGTAATCAGTCAAGTGCAAGAAAAACATGAGACGCTCTGCCATTCATCGAGGTCAAGTTGCACAGCACCGGAAACCAGCCAATATATTTTGGCAAAGAAGAAAAGAAATCCCACCAGTACCTCTACCCTACTTGCTAGCAGTAAAATTATACAACGACACAGGATTTTTTTTTAAAAAAAGCTTGCATTGTGGGTTCCAACTCTATTGGAATTCCAGTATCCTGAAATTTAGCAGCAGGATTAGAGTTGTGGTTAGCATTAGGGTTAGGGGTTAGGGATAAAGTGGATCTTCTTGTATTTCCTGAGTCCACTGAAAATTCCAGCACGTCTCCGTTGGGATCAGCGTACTGACAACCTGAATAGCTCAGTGGCTTAGGCACTATGCCTCCTTGTTGGTGGCTAGGCTTGGTGATCCATAAGGTCCCTTCCAGCCCCTGCAGTTCTAAGATTATTATTATAACCAGACCAGTAGCTCCTGCTTCTTGTGATTATTGTCTGCTGAAAAAATACTAGGGGACTTTTTTGTCCCAATGTATTCTGTTGGCTGGGGTAAAATACTCTTCACCCCACACTGTTTGGACTGTGTCTCTCCCAGCATTTTTATTTGTTTGTAAAAATAAAAAATCAGCAGCCATACACATCAAGTGGCTGAAATTCAGGGCACTGTTGCAAAATTATATCCCAAGAGTTGCAGTTTTAAAAAGTAACTTCTCTAAACACTGATATAACACAGTTTCACACAAAGCAAAGGCAACATAGATCTGGACAAACATAATCGAAGCAACCCAGGGCTCCATAAAATACACACTCCAGGCATTCTGGAAGTAATTTTCTCCTCCCAGAATATAGGGCAAGAAAATGCAGCTTGGTGAAATTAATTTTGCTTTCCAGTTCTGTGGATTCATATCCACTCATTTTATGTTTCGTGTGCTTTTCAGTGAGTGTGAAATAGTCCACCAGCTGCTGCTGAAGCAAAAAACACAATGAGGCTCCCCTATCGTCAGTCAGGGAAGTTAATGAAGCCAGCGGGGGATTGGATCTGTCACTTGAGCTGGGAATTTGTAGTCTGCACAATCATGGTGTGTTGAAAGAGCAACAGATCTGCAAGATTTTTGAGGGGAAAGCATTTTGTTTAATGGAAAGCCGGAAGAAGAAGGCAAAGCAACATAAAGAAGTGTAGGAGAAAACATGAACACTGAAGTCACTGTCTTTTTCCTCTGTCCAGTTTGGCACTTGTCAGCCATGCAAATTCTTAGATTGTTTTCCATATCCTTTGCTATTCTGATCTCTCTTTGGCATTTTCTCCACACTTTCGGTTTGGCAATTTAATGTTAAACTAGGAGGATGGAAAATGTTCTATGTACGTTTTTATCCTTGACCCAGCAGTGGGTAGAGAGAGTCTGACTACAACTCATAAAATACCTCAGAGAACCATGACTATTTGGATAAATGGATTGGTAGCTGTCATCCGAAAAAGGTACTTTCCCCCTTCTCTATTTGACTCTCAGAAGGGTCATAAGCAAAGTTAATCACTTGCTATATGATCTTATAGTATCCAGATTGACATATAGTTGAGGCAAAACTCATGAGACGTTGTTCACGCAATTAACAATTACATCAGTGATAGTTTAAAAGTAAATTGGCAGAGAGGCAGAGAGACCAGTTTAAATTAAAATCTGGCATAGGAGAGGGGGAGGTTTAGCTCTTTGCCCCCTGCTGTGGTCTTAATTGGGTTTCCTTTGCTCACGCTGGCTGGAAAGTGATAGTATTTGTAACCTAACACATCAGATTCTCTAGGGAGAATGGGGGCTGCTGATTAATCTTGTAGGGATGGTGAATCTGCTCAGATTTATAGTCTGAACTTTACAGGAACTATCCAACATAATGAAAGCAATCATCCAAACAGTTTCAGCACCATGGATAACTCCTGTAAAGCAGACCTATAGCAGACTCATCAACATGTGAAATAGGAACGAGCGGACTACATAGCACTAAACATGGATCAGGTGCACTGATGTGCTGGAAATCTAAGGCAGCATCTTAAATCCTCTGTTAGGAAATATGACTTGTGGGTCTGACCATATTAAGCAAGTGTAAATATAAGTGAGTCTTTGGGGTCTCTATGACATGAAACTGTCGAAGCTAGACAATCCTACTAGTCTGATTTTTAAAAAATCTTACCAAATAGAATAAGCTGGTAATCCATGTGCATGAATGGCATCAAGTTTTTATCAAGAGTTTGTGGAGATTAGGTGAGCATTCTGACACTGTAGACATTTCATGAAATGATGGCCATAGAAAATGATTTCTTGGTTGAATATCTGACGTTTGCAAATTCAGTGTAGCAAGGCAAAGAATGGCTAAGGTTCACTCGTAGTATCTGTATTATACCACTGCTGTGCTGTACTCTTGTTCTTTCTGTTGTTCTTCAGTCCTGAATCTGATGCTCTTTTCTTGAATCTGGCCTGGTAGCTAACAGCCAGTGTGGTTTAGTGCAGTGGTTTCCCAACCTAGGGCCTCCAGATGTTCTTGGACTTCAACTCCCAGAAATCCTGGCCAGCAGAGGTGGTGGGGAAGGCTTCTGGGAGTTGTAGTCCAAGAACATCTGGAGGCCCAAGGTTGGGGACTACTGGTTTACTGGACAGAGCGAAAGGCTAGGACTCAGGAGACATCGGTTCAAATCCCATGCTGTGCTTGGATAGCAAGGGTAAGACACTCCTTGAACATCTCATATACCTCCAAAACCCTCTTAGGGTTTCTCCTAAATTATAAGCAACTTCAAAGGGCACGACGCATTAAACATTGCATAGATTTTTTTTTCATTATTTACAAAATTTAAGCTTCTTAAAATGAAAAGATCATATCATTAATTACACAAGGCACCGCTCAGTGGTTTCCATGGCTAAACTAGGATTTGACAGGTCTCCTAAATTCTAATCCCACACTTTATCCATGACACCACAGTGGCTTTCACTAATGGGAATGTAGCAGCAGCATTATCGTTTGGAAAATTTCATTTTCATGGAGCCTCAGTCTCATCTCAACCCACCTTTGAAGGCACCCTGTGCCTTTGAAGTGCGATCTGTGTGTTTTTCAAAGGTTAAGGTGAGAAAAAATAATTCTAATCCTTCACCAGCACTTGACTAAATCTCCCTTTGCCTCTTGTACATTAAGGACCAGGAGGAAAGCTAATAATAGGTCATTAGTTTTTCACAGAAGCAAAAAGATCTGTAATGTTTTGAAATATTGATGCTGCGTTTTAATCCTTTTTAGCCTTCAGTGAAAACTCTTTGCAGAGCTTAGTACTATGGTAACTGACTCATTACCTTTACTCAAAAATGCAGCCCATCAAATAAAGTGTGTATCAGGTCCAGCCCCAGCAGATAGCTAGTATGCTTTTAGATCCAGCTGTGGGGTGATCAGCAGGGAATGGTGTCTCCATACTTACTGGGAGCAATTAGGAGTGTGGTAGAGGCCCAGACACCCATTTGTTTGCATGATGCTTATGGAGGGTTCCCTTCCTCTTCTGTTGTTCATGTAGGTGGTTGCTGATTGGTTAACCAGCCCTTTGGGATGTCAGCAGCCTGCTGCACTCATGTAGAGGCTGGCCAGATGTTTGATGCACCCTTCACCTCCATCATCAGTGCCCAACTTTAAGGGGCAGGAGGGGCACAATTTCATCATCCCCTTGATTGCTGCTGGGGCTGATAGTTCCCAGCTGCTTAATCAGCCCCTGATTATTAGCTGCTGTTCCCGATTCTTCTTTTGGAAGAATCAGATCCTGGAAGGGATAAATACAAAGGAATCCCAAGAAAATCTTTTAGAAAAACCTTTTAAGCAGTTGGCACTTAGAATAAAAAACAAAATGTAAAACTTCCCAAAAACCCGCCCTTGAGATCAACTTAATGATTTTTAAAATATTGTTTTATTAAATAAACAATAAGAAAAACATCTTGTTTTTTTTCTAATAGAAGATAATCTCAAAATGTCTACCTAGAATCGCTTGTCTCTGCCAATCTATTGTTCATGATCGCTAAAGCGCCTACTCCTCCAGAAAAGCCGTTTTGCCTAGTGTTGATGCAGACGCTCCGAGGGTAGCCGTTGGCTGTCTCGGACAATTGTTTTTGCAGAAGCGCCAGGGAGACTTTGTTGGAGGCTGTGAGATCCCTCATGGAGATCATTTCCCCCGAGAGCCTTCTCCCCTCTGTGTCACTGTCATACTGCCCGTCGGTCTCCATGGAGAAGTTGTGCCGGCGGAAGCGGGACCCTGGCGTGATGGCGTTGCGCCGCCCGAGGCGAGTGGCTGGCTTATTGCAATCAGGGCAACACCTGCAACGGAATTTTCTTAGCATCCAGTTTAAAACCTGCTTGATGACGATCGAGATGACATTAAAAAGGGAGTATATACAGCATACCCCCATTAATATAAACATGAAGTTCCCAAATCTGTATAATCCCTGATTTCGGTAGATGGCATTTTGGCTGCTCACCAGATCACCAAACCCAATGGTGCTGAAGGTGACAAAGCAGTAATACAAGGAGTCAATGTAATTCCATCCTTCCACAGCTGTGTACATGGCTGAGGCACAGCAAGAAAGAGTAATGGCAAAGATTCCCAAGATCAGCATTACGTGATAGACAGATGGCTTCCACCCAATCAGGCTGTCGACATCAGACATGGCTGAGCCCCGTCGGCAAGTTGGAGGTAGAAGGCCACTTCTCCGCAGCTGCCGCTCGTGGCAAGCCTTCATGACCAAAGCCAGGAGCGAGATGATGCGCTCCAGGAAGAGATTGAAGAAGAGGATGGTTGCGGCACACCCAAAAAGACCGTAAACAATAAGGAAGGCTTTGCCAGCTACGGTTGCTGGTGTGGACATCCCAAAGCCTGGGAGAGACAAGGAGAAAACAAAGCAATTGTAAATAGAGAAGATCCAGCATTTTTGTATTTGTGGCTGCACAGGCCACTGCCTCTCCGATAGTAAAATTATAAGCCTGGATGAACTAGAAAGACAATAGTATCCTTTAATGGTACCCACCCACCCCATGCCTACTATGTTGAAATCCCTCAGCCGTCCCACCTGAAAAGTCACCATTTTAAACAAGAATTTCCAGAATCCCACTTTCTGCTTTGGAATTCCAAGAGCTGTCTTCCAAAACAAAAAACAAAAAAAAACCCTAATATTTCTGAATTCTGATAGATTCACCCATATCTTATCCCACAGCCACCTTCTGCATCTAGGGTTCTTATATAATTAAGGAAACCAGGTACTTGCCACCTATGGATTTGTTAAGTACTTACATATAAAGTTTTAAAACATCCTGCTTTTAACTGATAAGCAGAGTGGACTCTCTTTAATGTTAAGGATTTAGACTAATTTATCCACCAATCAATGCATAACTTCCTATCCTATCTCTCATCTTCAGTTAAAACCACAAAATTTCTGCAACCCTGAACACCATGGTATACCAGTCCTCAAAGCTGCTCCAGTTATGTCTGCACAGATCATACCAAATGCTTGTATGTCTTTAAAATGATACTTGATTTCACGAAATGGCATTCTTGGGCATTAGGGCCATGGTGATTTTGCCACATCCTCCCTCATTAGGAGGAAATTGGCAATCCTCCTTAGGCTCATATAATATGGGACTGGCCGAGAGGGAGGCAGTTCACCAGCCACTGCTGCAAGCAGGTGCACCCTGCTCACTTGCATTTACTCCATAATATGAGAAATATCCTCCAGCCTGTTGAGGTAATAACAATCTTGCATGCTTTGTAAAACTAGGTATCAGTGGGAAGAGGCTTTTAGGACCTAAAGAGATTCTCTCCTTCTTATCTAACCTATTGCTAAAGTTTTTTTCCCCGCCTATGTCTTACCCCTCCTCTCTTCTTCTTTTTTGCTTTGCTTTGTTTATTAGTCTTTTCTAATGCTGATCTTCAGCCATGTGACCAGCATGGAAAGTCTGTCTTCCACATGGCTGAGACTCAGCTTTCATTGATTTTTCTTTTTATTCTTCTGACTGTAAATATAGACAGCAACTGTAAGTAAAGATACCTTATTTTCTATTTTAAACGCTTCCTGAGTGATTTTAGATGAATAAAGTGCTAGTCTGTGTGTAGGGAATAGTGATGAGATTGGGCTAATCTCTCCATATTTCTTACTCTGCTAACTGAAAAGGAATAACCAAACTAGTTTTCCCAAGAAAGCCTTTCTTATGCTTCAGTAGGGGATTAGCCAATCGCCTCCAAGGTGAGTAGGATTTTGGGGAGCATCTCGTAATTAGCACCAGAGGCCACTCTGGGTGGTTTATAACAAGATAAAACAATGATCAACAATATTAAATTATAATGACATACGATCAAAATAATATAAAAGGATAAGCATATACTAAACATTATAACAAACATTATAACTTAAAAATACAACACACAATTTTTTTTAAAAAAAGCAGTCAAGATGGTGGAATCAGTAGCTTAGGGGCTGGATTTGCATCCTGTTGGTGGAATATTCTGAAAGGTCTGTCTGAATAACCAAGTTTTCAAAAGTCTCTTAAAAGTAATCCGTGAAGAGGCCAGACAAATATTGGGCCGGAGTGGATTCCAAAGATGCGGTGCAACTGCCGAGAAGACCCAGTTGCTGGTCTGCAGGGTTACAAACAAGACAAAGGTGTTCCTGAGCATGTATGTGCAAATGGCATCTCCCAAAGGCCATCAGAATGGATCCCAAAATATGGGGCTGACAGTTGGTAGTATCCCATTCCTGGAGATTTCAGAGTCAATACCAGATGTAACCCCCCCAAAAAAGAACAAAACCCATCCCTGATACCAAATATGAGGCAAAAGTATCAAATGGGGAAATGAAATGTAGGTTGACAATAAGGTTGAGTTAAAAAGTCATTGTCAGAATCACTTCTCCCTAAAGAGAATGTGATCTCGGGCGAGGAATCACTGTAAGCCAGTGGTGTCGAACTGTGGCCCTCTTTAGTACCTGAGGTAGGTCCTTTCACCTCAGAAGGGCATAGTCTTTGCCCTGTGGACAAAGCTTGACCTAAAAAATAACTCTTGATTGCTTACAAGGCAATCAACCGTTGACTGTGTGCTTCCTTAGACAGCACAACAGACTAGCTAGGTAGAACCTCTCTATTTAGTAGTAATGAGTGACCTTTCTGTCCCCACTGGATTTAGGTGAAGTCCTGCTGTTCCAGAGACCAGTCCTCTGTTGAAGATTTATATTTGTTTTTATTGAATGAGTGACCTTTCTGATCTCCACTGGATTTAGGTGAAGTCCTGCTGTTCCAGAGACCAGTCCTCTGTTGAAGATTTATATTTGTTTTTATTGAGAAAATAAAGTAGTTTCATTAGAATACAGTTGTAGCATTAAAAAGCATAAAGCATGTCATATCCAATCAATTACTATGATTAAAATAAGCTTACTATTCTTAGATAAAATAATAAAAAGCTAAACTAAGTTAAGTTATCGTTTTGACTAGCATCTACATCTTAGCATCTAGAGAAGCTGGGTGATCTCTCTCTCTCTCCCCCCTTCTCTTTCAAAAAGTCAAATCTCTCTCTTCTCACATTCCACAACATCACACCATCACTGTCAGTTCAATTCATCTGTCACATACATGAACAACCATTTTTCTACATGTCTCTAGACTTCCCTCTTTTCTGACACTTCCAAGCTGTCAACCAATTAGGATCAAGGGGGCGTACACAGTCCACCGCCCACATTTCACATGAGATCTTCCAGGTGGCTTATCTTGTCCCAATTAAGTGGTATGTGCTGTTTCCTCTTCCCGATCTCCTCGGCCTTGCTCCTTATCTCAGTGCCAGGCAGACCAAACTCTGAACAACAATCCCATGAGAACATTTCACTGCTTTTAAATCCAATTTATACAGAACCTAACAGATTCTATCTTTGTATGACTACAAATCCCACCGTCGTTTAGTCGTTAAGTTGTGTCCGACTCTTCGTGACCCCATGGACCAGAGCACGCCAGGCCCTCCTGTCTTCCACTGCCTCCTGGAATTGTGTCAAATTCATGCTGGTAGTTTCCTTCTAATTCCTTACAATCATCACATTTGATTTTTGCCTTTGCAGTAGCAATGGTGAGTTTGAGTCTACTGCAGAAACAAATTTTAAAAAGACCCTAATCCTTCCTTTTAAAAAAAACTGTTTTCAACTGATCATCAAACATACTTCTACAGTTTTAGCCTACTGTTGATGCCCTTGAGGCCATTTATTTCCCAGATTCATTATTCTTCATCAAATGTTCCCAGCTAATCAAGGATCACATACCAGATATGGTGATGTCAGATAAACCATACAGCGAGTTAATGTTAGGTAAGTGCTGATGTCTTTTAAAAGAAAGCAAATCCATTAGAGTGAGGGGAAGGCTTTCTGTGTGGGCCACGTTAAGCCATAATAATAATAATAATAATAATAATAATAATAATAATAATAATAATAATAATAATAATAATAATAATGAT